CGTATGTAAATAATTGACTTGACGTCACCTTCCAATTAAAAAAGTCTTGAAGAAAAGAGAAAAAAAATTATTAAAATAAAAATATACGATTATTAAATACTAGTAAATTAAAAATATTTTTTAAAAAATAATATGGGCGAACCAAAAAGATATTGGAGAAAATTTGAGTCACGTATCTTAGATCCAATTAGATTAAATAAATATGATGTGTGTTGATTTTATACACAAATTCAAATCGAATCTAATTAGACTCAACCTATAAACACTTCTATAACACTCCGTGCTCCACTCCCACACCTTGTCCTTATTGAGCAACTCGGTCAAAGGTGTGACAATCTTGGAATAGCCCTTCACGAACCGTCGGTAGTAGTTGGCTAGTTCCAATAATGCTCTCAACTCGGTCGCCTAAAACGTCTGAGCACCTAAAAATGTAACGTTGAAAACATTAGACACTTATTTTTAACAAAAAATTCTTTAGGCACTAAAACGTTTTTTGAGACATGGTTTGAACACTTATTTTTATATTAAGTCATTTTGGTCCATGTGATCTTTCTTGGATAACCATAGGTCAGTGCTTTATGTTGAAGTGATATTTTTACACAATCACTTAAAAATATATGACATATATCACGGCATCATTTAAGAATATGTGATAAGTATCATTACCATATCAATAACAAGTGTTAACTATTAATCCATTAACAGTTTTCATTCAAAAAATGATTAAAGTACTTTTAAAAAGTAATAGTCAACCAATAACTAGTTGGTCTAGTGGAATGAGGTACTAGGTTCCTTAAGTAATGTCATGGGTTCGAATCTTGGTGTTTGTGAATGGAGCAAACTAGGTTGGGAGGGTCGCCCTCGCCCCTGCAGTACCCGATCTGAATTAGTCGGTTAATAGATAACATATCAATGATTAATTCAAAAAAAAGTAAGAGTCAAAATGATCAATTTAACAAAAAAATAAAAAATTAATTTAATAAATTAAAATATTATTTTTAAAATGTTATTGAAATTCCTAAAGAAAAAAATAATTAAAAACTGTATCATTTTCGTGTAGGGTGTAGCCTTCCACTGCAATCATTTGGCTCATTCCCATCGTAAGACTCTTTCTTTGAGAAGCTTTTGTTTTAATGATACGATGATGACATCCGATTTTCAAAATAGTAAGTTACGATATTCAACATTGCATTAATTCAGGTTCATTTAGAGAACAAGGTCGTTCATAACTTAGTTTGGTTTTTTTAATCTATTTCCCCTCTTGTGTTTTATGCTTATGAATCTCCTATATGTATTTCGGATGTAACATTTTCAGATGCTATTAACGACTATGGTTTGAGGTAACTAAATATTTGGATGGAGTTGAGGATGAAATTAGAATATTCAAAAGTTCAAAGATTACTTTAGAAAAATGGACATGATTTAGGGATGAAATTAGAATACTTAAAAATTTAAGGACTAATTTAAAATGAAAATCATAGTTTGAGAACTTAATTAATTGAAAAAAAGTTGGGAAGGAAAATCCCCTCCCATCAAATACAATTACCAGAGATTTCTGAATTCTTTGAAGCAAATATTTTTTTTCTTTTTTCATAAAAATAATTTTATTTTCTTAAAATTTTCAATAACTTGTCATCCATTTGACCTCTTTCAGTGTTTCAATAGAAGAATTTGTAGTCTTTAACATATCATATAATCCACTTGGAAATAACTTTCTTAAAAAAATTGGTGCGTTGTCTTCTCTCAAGTCTCTTACCATAAAGGGTTGTGGACTCAATGACACTTTACATGTCCAAGGTAAAATTGTTTTTTATCTCTAAAATTTCATTTGAAATAGAAAATATTAAATAATTTATTTGTTTAATTATAATATTTGTTAGAAGATAAATGTAATACCCTAAATATCAGGTCAGTGATTATATTACAAAGGTTTAAAAATTTGGAGGATTAAATTGAATAAAGTGTAAAGTATAAAAAATGATTTAAAAATTGTGATTAAGACCAATTAATAAGAATGGAAGAATGAAAGTGTATTTTGGTCCTTTAGAGGGAAATGAATTTAAAATACATTTTTATTAGAGTATTTAAAAAGGGGAAAAGAAAAAAGGGTGAGAACAAGCTATGTTCTCTTCTTCTTCCTCCTAGTCCCGTGTCCTCCATATCCAAGGTAAGGGTTCTTCAACATTGATTTTCCTTTCGTTTTGGGTTTGTTCTTGAAACCTTAAGTGATGTGTAAGCTTAAGGAAGGGTTAAAAAAGATTAAAACTCAGAAATAGATGTTTTATTTTAGATTGAAGAAAATGGGTTTTTTGAGTAATTTGTTGAAATATGAGTTTTCATTGATGTTTACAATTATATTTGACTTGTCAAAGAAGAAAATAAGAGAATAAAAACCTTGGATGTGATTAAAAACATGTTAAAAAAAGTAGTATGATTCTTAGTTTGAGATGTTCTTTGGAGAATTTAGATGTTATAATAAGCTAAATGGAGGAAAGTTAGTTGGGTTAAGTGATGTTAAGTTTAAGGGCATTGTTTGAGGTAAAAGTAAGAGTTACAAACGAAAATTTACTAAAAATCAAGCTAAAAATTGGAAAATTTGGGTAAGGGTATCGGTACTGGAAGAACAGTACCGATACTATAGGTTTAAATTTGGGGAAATCAGATGAACAATATCGATACTTATGCAATTAGTATTGATAATGATGTGGGTATCGATACTATAAGGAAGATATCGATACCATGGATACCAGAAGGTAGAAATGGTATTGATACTGCAGGGGAGTATCGATACCATAATATAGAAGTATCGATACCATAGTAGGGGTACCGATACTATTGAGTTTGGAAAATTAAAATAGGATGAATTTTTATAGAAATTGAATATAATAGTACTTTTAAGTATTATTAAAAATATAAATGTTAGAGAGTATACTAACATTGATATGTTATGTGTACTTAATGGATGCTTGTGTAGATCGTAACCAAGCCTCTGAGTCAAGCAAGAACAAGGGCAAATATAAAGTTGCCAAATAGTAGGACACCCTTAAAGCATACGAACGAGGCATACCAGATGAGTGCATTTATTATGTACTTATATGTTATGATAATCATAGATGCATGTTGCTTAATATATGTATGGTGATTACCAAATGACACTATGTGTGCAAACTAAGAAATTCATAATAAGTTTATGAATTTCCGTATGGGCACTTTGTGTGCAAAACTAAGAAATTCATAATAAGTTTATGAATTTCCGTATGAGCACTTTGTGTGCAAAACTAAGAAATTCATAATAAGTTTATGAATTTTTGTATTGACACATTGCGTGCAAATCTAAGAAATTCATAATAAGTTTATGAATTTCCGTATAGGCACTATGTGTACAACCCACGAAATTCATCATATGTTGATGAACGACCGTATAGGCACTAAGTGTGCAACCCCTTTTCCATGCATAACGGTGCATTATAGGCATGAAAGGGTGCCATAAATGAAATACATAACGGTGTATTATCGGCATGAAAGGATGCCATAAATGAAATGCATAACGGTGCATTATCGGCATGAAAGGATGCCATAAATGAAATGCATAACGGTGCATTATCGACATGAAAGTATGCCATAAATAAAAATGCATAATAGTGCATTATAAGCATGAATAGATGCATTCAATGAAAAATAAAGAATAATTACTAAAGAGATAAATGGAAAAAGAAAAATATAAATAAAGATAGGTATGCTAGACATACTAAGAATAATTACGATAATTGGGTGAATGGAAATTTGTTTAATTAAGGAGGATGATCCTTAAGGAGTATACGATTTAGTGTGAAACTAAATAACTATGATATACTTATGTATACATTAATTTTTCTTTAAAATATTATGTCTCACTAAGTAAATACATAACGTGTGTTGCTTCCACGCGTAGGTAAAAGCGGAGACTAGTCAAGTAAGGAGTGCAGCAGTAGCAACAACTATCATCAATTAAGGTTGACTCATCAGTAACAGTAGGACAATCATACTTATTTTGAAACTTAGTTGGCATGTAATTGAACTTAAGAAAATATTTTATAATGTATTTAAAGTGATAATTTTAGTAATATGTTTCAATGAATATTTAATCATTGTGTTAAATTGTGTGGTTTTAAGATTTGAAACAAAATTTTACGGGTTTTCAAATGAATAAATATTTTAAAAGTGATGTGACATTTGTATCTTATGTACAGAAATGTATTGGAGAGATGTGTGTTACAATAAATGTGTAAGTATAATAATCACACTTGTTAGAAGATAACGACAACTATATTGGCCGCACAATAAAATAGATATTAAGATTTTATGTAGAAATTCATTTCAAAAAAATTATGGGAAAATTGAAATTTCATGAATATCAAAAATAGGAGAATACGAGAGGAATTCTGACATATAGCATATTCTCTAACCTTAATCCCTACTACGTATTTGTAAAGATAAATACTTAATTACAAAAAATATTCCATCGTGCTTCAGCCCATTATAGATCAATCAAGTTCACTTATCAAGAAAAAGCTACAAGGGCCACTCACAAATGCTTTCCGCAACAGCAACATGCTGGTGACATCAGATCTAATATACAACCACTTGACTGGAAATATTCCGAATTGGATTGGCAACCTTTCTCAGTTGAGCTATCTTCTTCTAAACATCAACCATTTTGAAGGAGGGATCCCAGTTCAGTTGTGCAACATGGACCAATTAAGCTTGATTGATCTTTCCAATAACAATCTTTCAGGTATCATTCCACCTTGCTCGATGATTACAACACTTAACGAAGCATCTCAAGAATATGCTCGATGATTACAACACTTAACGAAGCATCTCAAGAATATGTTCGTTACATCGCTGCTATCGTGCAAGCTTCGAGTTCGTTCTCCATCGATAATCCCATACAGTTCACGACAAAAAACAACTCGTACTCTTACAAGGGAAGAGTCCTTAGATACTTGTTCGACATCGATTTCTCGTGCAACAAGTTGACAGGGGAGATTCCCCACCAAGTGAACAAGTTCCAAAACATCTTTGCTTTGAATCTATCTCACAATAGTTTGAGAGGATCAATCCCACCAGCATTTTCGATCTGAAGCAAATCGAGAGCCTCGATCTTTCCCACAACAACTTGAGTGGTACAATCCCTCCACAATTGTCTTATTTCAGTGTGGCGTACAATAATATGTCCGGAAGTACACCGGTAATGATCGCACAATTTTTGGCATTCAAGGAAAGCAGCTATGTTGGAAATCCTCTTCTCTGCGGTAAACCGTTGTCGAAGAACTGCTCGACATCCGAACCATCACTGCCTTCATTGCTGAAGGGGTCTACTGAAGATGGATTGATTGATTTGACTGACTTCTACGCATCGTTCGTCGCGTCTTATGTCGTGGTCACACTGAGTATTGCGAGTGTGTTGTACATCAATCCTTACTGGAGACGAGCATGGTTCCATCATATAGGAAAATCATCAAATGTTGCTACTATTTCTTGGAAGACCACATTCTGCCTAAGAGATTCCTCAGGGGAAATTAATATGTAGATCTCTCTACTCGTAGTGCTTGATTTAGTTGTTTGTTATCCTTCACTTAAAAAGGCAAAATACAAAAGAGTAAACTATGTGTTTAGTATTTAACTATCAGTTTTGATCCATTTTAATACATAACTTTCAAATTTTTCAAAATCATATCTAATGTTTAGTTTTTGTTTTATTTTTAGTTTCCTGCCGTTAAAAACTTAACGTGCGAAGTCTGCACGAGTCTACCCGAGTCCTTACAATTTTGTTTCCTGTCGTTAAAAACATTCAATTTTGTTTCATTAGGCTTTACCATTTAAGGTTCTTACATAGAGTTCTTAATGTGCTAATTGGGAAGTCTGCACGAGTCTAGCCGTGAATCGTGATAAACGCTACACGATTCTTTCTGTGAATTTCCGAGAGAGATTCATTGCAACTAACTAAATAAGATTAATCTCGGCATCCGTTTTCAAATCCGCTTTAAACCGTCTGCATGTGCTTTAATGAATCAGGTGCATGTTCAGTCCGATCAAGCAGGACACTTGGTTATATCCGGCGAACCAAGAGAATTAAGCAATCCCTGGGGTGTCACACCCTTTAAAAAGGTTCGTCTTGATTCGAAGAAATCGCAGTATAGATAACGGTAACCATGTTCAGTAGCCATTATAAATGCCTAATCGGATTGGTAGCGACTGTTTCCATTATCGATACATGCTTGTGTTGTCCAGGTTTAGTTTGCCATCCAGAATCAACCGTATGCGACAGCCGCCGTCGTTACCCTGCAGGGTCAGCTGTTCGTGCACGCCCCTTTCGAGCCGACGGGTGTAGTGTAAGGCTTTTTATGTAGAGATTTCTCTAGTTTGAAACTGATGCGTGACAATCAAATTCAGCTGTTGCACATTTTTTTATTGATAAGAGTCTGTACAGCCAATCATTCAACATGTTCCTTTTCTTTTCTTTTTAAATCCATCATTCATATTCCCATTGCCATGATCTATTATCACACAACAAATAACAACATTACACCTAATTACAGTTTTCTCATAATTAGTGTTTTAGTAGGATGATTAAAGTATTTAAACGCAAATGGTCTTGATCTAATTTGATTCTATAAGGTAAAGCATCAGGACAATGCAGATAATAACCCTTCACATCCCCTGCCCATTCATAATTTGTGTATGAAAAATACATTTATCACTAATAGATGCATTTTATTCACACTACTTACATAATAAATAAAAGATGGGTAAATTATATATTTAGTCACTTATCTAATTATGTGATTTTGTTTTGGTCGTCTAACTATTTCTTTTGAAATTATATCAAACATTACATTTTTGTTATCCACAGTTAAAAAATTAACGATAATATTACTATGTCATCATTAAAAAAATTACCACATCAATAAATTTGTTTATTTTGTATAGACGACTAAGACGAGTGATAAAAACAGAACGTTAGGTATAATTTTGAAAAAAATAATTAGATTACCAAAACAAAATCGTAAAAATAGGTCAGTAACTAAATACGTAGATAATAGATATAATAAATAAATTCACCCATAACTTTACAAAATAGTCACTTTATTCCTCATTTATTTTTAAACACTTTAGCTCGAAATATTTCATTAAGAAGTCAAAATAACTCATGATGAGGTGAAAACCTCAATTGACTCACATCAACACTTGTAATTGACGTGACAAGTTTTATGTATCCAAAATATTTATATGACATTGTCACATATACATAAGTGATGACGCAACACATGTCACACATTTAAAATACTATCATAATATTGTCACGTGTCTACAATGATGATATAATACTACAACATATCTATAATAATAATATGACACTATCACATATCTAATGTGATGACATGCCAAGTTATTAACATTATTTTATTAAATTAATTTCATCCAATCATATGATGATACATGTCATTCTCTCAAATTAAAAAAATTAGTATTCTTATATTAATATATTTATAACATAATATATTTCAAATATACTTTTATATTAATATATTTATGACGTAAATAGTAAAATATTTTATAATTAATATATTCTTATAGAAACATATTAATATCATCTATTTTAAAATACTAATAATTATGTCAATAGTACATTAATATTATGTTATAAACATACTAATATAAAAATATATTAGTCAAACATTATATATTACTTAGTTTGATGGCTAAGCATTGAGTTTTTCACCCTTTAAACTTAGATGATTACATGTATCATCATTTCATTCAATGAGATTAATTTGATAAAAAATAAATATATCAATTTAATATATAAAAATAAATAATTTACTAATATCTTTGAACATGTAACAATGCCACAACATTATTGTGCACAAGTCGCAGTACCATATCACCATTATAGGCACATTGTAATGTCATTTAAACACTTCAAACACTTAATAATGTCATGTTAACAACAAATACCGACTATTAGTTGATGATTTTCATCAAATCATTTTGACTCAAAATGAAATATTGAAAGTTAAAGTGTTTTAAAAAAAGAATATATCAAAGTAATTATTTAATCAAACATTAGGAGTGAATTTTTTTCATGGAATAATATCTTTATTCAACCCTAACATTTGACAAGATAATCACTTTAATCTCTATTTTTTAAAAATAATTATTCCTATTCTTTTTTAATCACTTTGACCTCTTATATTTTATTTTAGGACAAAAGGTCCCCTATTTAAATGAAAATTGTTAATTGAACGCTTGTCGCTAATTTGGCAAGTTCTATCTATCCAAATTGATAGCATGGAATTTTCTATGTCACCACTTTAGACATATGACAATGCCTCATCATCACTTTTGATACATGACAAAGTACCACATCACTTTTGGACACATAACATGTGCCATGTTATCACTCCAAACACATAACACATGTCACATCATCACATTTAAACATATGATGTAACACCCCAATTTAGGGGCTAAATTTAAGAAATTATAAATTGGTGGATTTAATTGGTATTTTGAAAGAAATGGTGGATTAAATTGTAAGATTTCAAATTTGAAAGACCGTTTTAAGAAGTACATGAAATTCAGTGGCTAAACCCATGATTTAACCTTTTTTTATATGTTGAATTATAAATCCCCCCGTGCGCAGGTTCAACAGAGATTTTCCAGGTTTCCCTCTCCAGCAACCCTTCTTTACACTCCGATCTACTCACCGTCCGACCTCCGATCGACGAGACAAAACCAACATCGTGTTCGTGTCAACCGAGGAACAAAACCCTCAAACCTTTCGTCGTGAATCGTCTCCGTTCGTCGTTAATTTCAGTCGGAAGTATCGTCGGTAATAACTCAATTTCAATTGGTTTTCCATCGATTCACGACGATCCGGTCATCCGTTTACGACACCTCCCGCACCATCGTGTTCCTTATATCGTTCTGAGTCCACCGGTGTTCTCCGTTTCTCCATCGTCACCGGCGCGTGGAGGGGTAAGACCGTCAAAGTTTCTGACGTTTTGGAATCGAATTCTCCACCGTTCAAAATTGTGAACCGAGCTTTGTAAGTGCCTCAAAATCGCTTAAAATAATTTTTAGTAATTTTTCCGGGAATTTTCCGACATCGTAGTACTGTTCACGCGCCACACGCGCCACCCCCGAGAGTGGGCATCGTCTGGGTGATAATTTAGTAATTAATTTATGTTTGGGTGCTATTTGTGTAAAATTCGGGTGTTAGATTGGTAAATATTTGTAGAATGTGGCTAATTTGGTAATTAATTTATGTTAGGGTGATATTTGTGTAAAATGGTCGACTGTTGACTGTTGACCGGCGTTGACCATAGTTGATCAGAACTTTGATTGGCTTTGACCGGGCATTAAACGACCTTTGACGTTGACGGAGTATACCTATCCTGACATTTTTCGACGTTCCGAATCCGATTCCGCAGTCCATTTTTCAAAATTCGGACCCGAAGGTCTTAAAATTGGGCAATTTTCCCAATATATCACCGGTGACCGGTAATATTACCGATCTAACACCCTTAGCAGTAAAGCGCGCCCCCTACACCGCGCTATACGATGATTTGGCGCCACGTGGGGTATAGCGCGCCCCCTGCACTGCGCTATACGGTGAGCTGGCGCCACGTGGGTATAGTGCGGCCCTTGCAGTGCGCTATACGCCATGCAGGGGTATAGCGCGGATCAGGTACCACGCTATACCTTTACTCCTAATAATTTTATATAGCGCGGGGCAGGTACCGCAACATACCTTTACTCCTGACATAATTTTATATAATGCGGGGCAGGTACCGCGTTTTGTATAACTTTCCTCGCTATAAATACCATTCTCCGCCGGTTAATTTCTCACATCTCTCCTCTCAACTTATAAATTAATACAATAATTCCGTCAACGAGTCAATAATTCTGGCAATCTTCTCATATTTTATTTAGAAATTCGTGCGGTTTTTCGTTATAAGGTAATTTTGTTATATTTTTTTATTTATTGTTTATTATGATTATTTGAAAAAAATATTATACTAATTATTTTCAATTAATTTTTGTGTTTGTAAAATGGAAAGCGAGAGCATACGTCAAATAGTTTGCGGTGCAGGTAATATATTAAATTATATTATTTAATTTATTTACGTTGATGTGTAAAACTTTTATGTGTTATATGTTCGTTCATATATAATTTATTAAATCAGGGTTGTTTCATTTTTTTTTCAGATATAATAGTGCCGCACTTTTAAACTCAAATAATGGCGCGACTTTTAGCTATTGTTTTTATGATGGTGAAATTCGAGAAGATGAAACCGACGTGTTTTAGTATCAAATGAGCGTGTTAAAATATCATTCAAGAGAAACATAACTCTTGAGGAGCTTATAACGAAGATTTCGAGGAAGATTCATGTTGGAAGTAGTAGAAGAGTGTCGTGTTGCAGTATAGATTTCAACATATTGTTCCATTAACTTATACACGTTCGAACTTTCGAACAATGATGATGTTGAAATGATGGTTGGAGCTCAAAGTAATTATTCAGACGCCGCTATTGAGATGTATGCACATTTTATTCAAGTGTGTGTTGTTTGGGGTCAATCATTAAGCTCCCACTATGGGTTGACTGAACAAGTTGACAGCCCGACGACAGTAATGTGTAATGATTTTAATGCCATAATGGGGAGACATTCATCCGCAACTCCTTACGATATGTACCAAGGTAGGTCGACGAACAATCCGTATGGCAACATCGCTTCCAGTTCAAGGGGAAGGCATTCATCTGCAAATCCCTTTGACCTTAATATGGAGATGCCATCGACGCAACCATCTGTGCAGTTTCCATTTGACGCGATGGCTTCAAGCTCTAGGGGGAGGCATTCGACTGCGAGCTTTTTCGATCTCAATGTCGATATGCCTTCTAGTTCAAGGGGAAGGCATGCAAGTAGTAGGTTCTTTGACCTAAATGTGGATAGGATGGAGGAACCATCATCTCCACCAGAAGAACCGCTTCGTGAGCCTGGTGCGGATGGTGTTGAGACTGGACTGTTCATTGACCCAAAATCACCGCAATTCAACTCCGATGATGATGAAGTTCCAGGAAATATGGCACAAACTGACTCTCCTGCACACATGTATGAAGCTGATTATGGTGCAATGTACGGGCCAGAATTTGCGGATATGCCTCATCTCGGTGACTATGGGTATTACTCATCAATAAATAATGGTGAGTTATCTTTAGGCATAGAGTTTTCAAGCAAAGAAGAAGCGATGATGGTTATCAAAAATTACAATATTTGTAATTCTGTTCAGTCTAGAGTAGACCGCTCCACGACCGAAAAATATGTATGCTACTGTGCCCTGTGCGAAAATTGATGCAATTGTATGGTTCGCGTATCGAAGAGGAAGATGAAAGACAATAGATGGGAACTAACAATATACAACGATCCTCACACATGTTGTGCTGGAGGGGTCAACCAAGATCATCCCAACTTGGACTCACTCTGAACTGATATGCCAAGCCATCATGCCCATGGTCAAAGCAAGCTCTCATATAGTTGTTGCAGTGTTGATTTCAGCTATACAATCGCAGTATGGGTACACTGTCTCCTATAAAAAAGCTTGGTTGGCAAAACAAAATGCCATTGTCAAACTTCATGGCGAATGGGATGCATCTTACAATGAACTTCCATGTTGGTTTAGGCTGGTGTGAACGTTGAATCCTGGGATAATTGTGGACTTCGAAACCTCCTATGCATACCATAATGATCGAGTTCTTCGTGATCGATGCCAATTCTACCGCGGGTTTTTTGGAGTTACCCACAGTGCGTTAATGCTGTCAAATTCTGCAAGCCTGTGGTCCAGATCGACGAGACGTTCTTGTATGGAAAATACAAGCAAGTTTTATTATTGGCAGTTGTCCAAGATGGCAATCGCAACATTCTTCCAGTTACTTTTGCTCTTGTCGAAGGAGAAGATACAGCTTCTTGGGATTTTTTCCTCCGAAATTTACGTGCACATGTTATCACGAAGGAAAACATCTGTGTCATTTCAGATCGCGGAGCTGGAATCAAAGCAGCAATGGAGTCTTTGGGTCCAATGCGACAACCACCCTTTGTCCAACATAGGTATTGTCTTCGACACATTGCCGCGAACTACCATGGAATGTACAAGAAGAATGATGAGCGTCAATTAATTGTGCGCATGGGTAAGTGAAACTTAGCAAGTTTGTTATCTTTCGATTGTTTTAATTTTGCAAAGACAACAAGTTAGTAAGCTATATATTTTTTGATCAGGTTATGAACTACTTCCTCGAACGTTTGAATCAATGTTTCAAGAGTTGCGGGCGAAGAACGAGGAAGGATATGATTACATCAGCCTCATCGATAAAGAAATGTGGACGAACATATATGATGGTGGATATCGATATGGACACATGACGACCAACTTGGCAGAAGCAATCAATTCAACCTTAAAGGGTGCACGTCACTTACCTTTAGCGGCTTTGGTATAGACTACATATTTTTGTTTGGGGGCGCTTTTTGCGAAACTCAGGGGATAAGCTCAAACCTGGATGCAAGGCGGTCATGTCTATCACCCTAGATTAGTTGCAGATCTACAGAAAAAAATTGCTGCATCAAATGGAATGTCTGTAACAAGCTTCTCTAGAAGGCATGAAATGTTTCGTGTCACAGAGTTACCGCGACCTCTTCAAGGGATTGAAGTTGTGTCGTTAAGAGTAAATCTATGGGACAGAACGTGCGACTGCGGGGTTTTTCAAGCTCTAAAGTATCCATGCTCTCATATGATAGTAGCTTGCTCGCATACACGTCAAGACTATAACCATTTTGTGGATCCTGTATACCTACTATCTGAAGTTTTTAAGGTATACGAATTTGAGTTTCCCCCCATATGTAATGACAAAGACCCTAATGAGGTTCAAGATTGGCTTCCGATTGTACTAAATCCGAGTTTATTGAGGGAGCATGGTCGTCCAAAATCCAATCGAATTCATTGCGATATGGATATTAGAGAAAGATTTAGACAAGACAGAAGATGTGGGCATTGTAGAAACCCAGGGCACACTAGAAAAGCATGTCCACTTCTGTTGTCATCAAGTAACAATTGATGAGGAAATGATGTATTTTATTATCAAATAATAATTCTTCTACTTTAATTTGCATTTACTTCAAGTTAATGTCATTTGATAATCACCGATAAAGATTAAAAAAACAAACACAATCATTAAATTTTAACAAACTAATAACAATAAGTATTAAATGGTAAATGATAACCAAATTATAATAACTGATAATAAATGGTAATAAAAAAACCGACTGAAATACATTAAAAAACAAAATAAAGTAAGTATTAAATGAGAAATAATAAAAAAATTACAATTTAACAAAATAAAGTAAATACAAATATAATAAAAAACAAAATCTATCGATGCATGCGAAGCGAATGTGTTCCGCAGGGCGGTGGCTGTCGGTCTCGAGGAGGATTTCTTCGTATCACTGGTTCTGACTCCTCGCTGTCATCATCATCACCATCGTCGTCGTCGTCGTCTTGCGCAGGTACATGAGGAGCTAATGACGATGAAGTACCTCCGTAGAGTAAGGACCCTGGAGTTGTATGACTGACTATCCCACCGGCCTGCGAAAACTGGGAAAAGTCATAAAACCCAGACATCGCTGAGTGTGAAAACTGTACAGGAGGCGGTGTCTGTGCTGCGGCCATGGGTGATGAGGTTGAACCCGCCAAATATCCAACATATGAACCCCAAGTCGGGTCTGTAAACATAGACCCATAATAGCCTCCAGGAGGGGTCATCTGTGACGGTGGCGGTGGCGGGGTCATAAAACCGAGTGAAGGCGGCGGCAGCGGCATCTGGTAATGGAAAGGCGATGGCAACATCATATATGGCTGCGGTGGCTGCTGGGAAGGTCCTGTTGGTGCATCTGAGGATGAACCGGAAGCACCTGCTCTCCGTCCACGAGTCAGGGGACGATGGTGCTGTGTCGGTGAACGTCTCTGTCGACGTCGTGGAAAGGTCTGCCCTCGTGTATCCTCGAGAAGTAGAAACGATTTCCCGTTACTGTTGAACCACTCATAATAATCTTCAGCATACATCAAAAAGTCAATAAAAATGGGCTCTCTACGTGGAATGCGCCGATGTCGATCCTCCACAACACGACCCACTCATGATGCCTCACCACCAATCTGTATCTGTCTTGCCGTCTATCTAAGCTATACAACTCATCCATATTGCGAGGTGCTCTGGAATTGGTTGAAAACAACCAAACTATCGGAGCACGCGATCAATGGAGTACCACTCGACGGTCGCATAACAGATCAGAGGGACCATCGCCATCCAAACATCTAATAGACCCCTCAACTCAGGTGGGATCACCGCCCTCACATCATCAGTAGAATATGGCACTCATTCAAACTAAAACAATAATATGTAATTTTATCAATAATAATCTAATTATATAACTATAATCTAAAATCGATTTTAAACATTAAAATTCATACCTGTGTGCCAGCCTTCTGATCGATTAGTACCCTAATCTTTTCTAAATCATCAGTAGATCCTGATGATTTTTCCTATCAGTAGACCACTATTCAAGGAAAAAATTTGTTATACGTTGTATAAAATTATTAATATACAAAATCAGTTTTATAATTACCTCAGAAGTAGTGGAAATACGAATGGGTTCTTCACAACGGGACTAAAAAGGGCAATCGATACCATGCCAAGACTGCAGCAGCAGGAGACTCCGCTGATAGCATTACGCCTGTAGTCAGTGGCTCCACACATCTCCCTGTACAACAAAGCCAAAACTACCGAGCCCCAACTGAATGATCCGGCGAGACGAAAGTCGCTAAGATGTCGCAACCACATGCAGTAAACTATTTGCGCGATTGTCTGGCATCAGCAACCCTCCTATCAGCTGCAATAGCATGCCCCTGCATACATCTTAACCTCATCCTCAGAGACGTCTGCGCTCAACTCCCGAAAATTGGCATCTAACCAATTTAACGGTATCCTACCTCCGAAAATTTTCCGAGACACGTCCTAGACTATCCCAAACCAGTCCAAGAACCGGAAGCTATCCCCGATATCACATCTCCATCCCCGGAAGCCCCAGGTGCATAGAAACATCCTCAAGCGTGATCGTGCACTCTCCGCATGGAAGATGGAATGTGTGGGTCTCCGGCCTCCACTGCTCTACTAAGGCAGAAATCAGGTCTGGCTCTATCTTACAGTGACCCTGATATCTACCTATGTAACCGAATCCAGCTCTACTAATACGCAAGACACGACTAGGTATCACTAACTTAAGATTCCTAATAAAAAATCTAATACACGGGTCCTTCTCTAAAATAAATAATTACAAAAATTAATTCTTAATCTAATAATCATGCATTAAATGAATAAAAATAATTATTAATAATAATTTAAATTAAATTAAAATGTTAAAATGTTACCGTATCAGCAAAGTGTCGAGATATTTAATTATTATATAATAATCATGCATTAATAAATAACTAATATTACTAATAATTTAAATTAAATTAAAACGTTAAAATGTTACCGTATCAGCAAAGTGTAGAGATATATGATTTCCATTCGAGCGAAGTAGACTGCCTTCCATTATATCTGAAAAGAATTATATTAGTAAATATTAAATAAAGTAAAATATAATAGTAAAAATATTAAAATATACCTTAAAAGAGAGTATTTGAGAGAAATTTAGAGAATTTGAGAGAATTTGGTATGATAAAATTGATTGAGAATAGGGGTATTTATAGGGAGGAGGGGTCGGTAGTTAGGGGTATAGCGCGCCCCCTGCACCGCGCTATACCCCACGTGTCAGATATACAGGTATAGCGCGCTGCAGGGGCCGTGCTATACCCACGTGGCGCCAGCTCACCGTATAGCGCGGTGCAGGGGGCGCGTTATACCCCACGTGGCGCCAAATCATCGTATAGAGCGGTGCAGGGGGCGCGCTTTATTGCTAAGGGTGTTAGATCAGAAAATATAATCTGATCGGTATTAGATCGGTAATATTACCGGTCACCGGTGATATATCGGGAAAATCGCCTTAAAATTGCCAGTCAAACTCGTTGACTTTGATTTTGACCGAAAATTCCAAATTTTTGAAAAGTCATATTTTATGCTTTCGACGTCCTGAATCCGAATCTGAAGTCCGTTTCGCCATATTGAACCCGTAAGCTGTTTTTGACTGATTTATCACCCGATTCGATTCGCTTATCGCAATTAAGCTCTGTTTTTATGTAATTTCTGTTGATATGGATCCGAGGAAATATTGGAAGATGATTTCAAGATTGATGACATTTTAATGGAATTTAATGGTCGATCAGTATTGCACAAAAATCGAGGTAATACTTTACTACCTCTTTATGCTTTATGGAACATGTTGATATTGGTAAATTCATGAATAAGATAATGTTGATCAATTTTGTGGAGTTGATTAATTTATACACTCGATATGAATGTGGTAGAAATTCGTAACTGAATTCGGATCGAATGATTAATATAAGAGATTGAGGGAATGTTAGAATTAAATTACAAGTTATGTGATTTGTGATAAAGAAATCAGCCACGGATTTGTAACTTATATTTTAAAGGTTAAATGTTAAAGGTACTTGGATGGGAAATTATGAGAATACTCTGTAGGGTAAAATTACGAAAATACCTTTATATTGTAAGATGACAAGAATTGTTCTTGGAAGTTGGTTAATAACTCTGAAAGACATATTGATCCGATATAATTACAGATGTGCATAAGAAATGCTAGTTTTACTTAGAAAATTTAGAAAATTGGTTTTTAACCCTAAAAGGGTTTGTATAAGATACTATAAGTCTGTTAAGGAATCATTTCGAGATCAAAGAATGTTCGGGAAGCAATTAACCATTGGATCTCTAAAGTATAATTATTTTTGTTAAGAGTTAATACCAAAATTATCTGATTAAGAAATTACGAAAATGCCCTTGAGAGGTAAAAATAGTCCAAGTTGACTCTGAATGAGGAAATAACATGAGAATTTATTTTTAAACCGATAAATTACTGATTTGATTGTTGAGATCTTATTTTTGTATGGACAATTCTGATAATCCGTTAGTAACATCTGAGAAGGCATTTAACTTGGAAATCTCCGACTTGAGTAAGTACGTGAAGAATAATAATTTATCGATGGTGATATTTTGTCAGAATAGTTCAAAGGGACTGACATAAATTATAAGTTTTAATTAAATAATAAGACCGAACGGAAGGAATTGATTGAAATATTCTAGATTTGTAAAATGACCAAAATACCCCTGGAATGGAAATGACTCAAGAATGTCACCAAGTTCAGGAATGAATGGATATACTCAAGCTTTGAAATGAATAGAAAAACGTTGAGCATCAAAATGACCAAAATGCCCTTATGACCTAGAATAAGTAAATGTCTTGGATTAATTAAGAAATCCAAATAAACATGGATGTTGTGCTACCAGTAAAAGTTATGGAACGCAACTTAAATGATCAACCAACGTTAGTGCTATATCATTACCTGAATGATATAAGTACCACTTGAATGTTTGTTCATCTTCTCAAATTTGGATCGATGATAATTCTGGAAGTACTTGGCTCAACTCAACTCTAGAGCGCATACATACTAATAAGTGTGTATTCGTGAGTCAAATCAACCACGAATACCAGAATAACTTTATTATATGAATAAATTGAACTGAAATGAAGTACAACGTGTATTTGAAATTCAGAAACGTCTGAATTATTCTGGAAAACTTTAAAGTAATTGGGATAGACTTGCTTACTAAACGAACTAAGTAACATCAATGATTGAGGATTAAATAGGTGATTGGATGAGTTTGGAAACACTGTTGAACTTATATGATGAATTGTCCTTATGGGTTATGAGCCATGGATCAAGTACGTCCGTATTTCCTGATATTATTGAAACGTGGAAATGAAATAAAGACCGTTGGAAGATTTATTCAGTGACGATTATGGGGATGATCTATGGATCTGCATTATGGTATTAAAGAGTGAATACACTGGAAGGATAATGAATTGACTTGTTGGCAAGCATCAGTTTGGGAGTTGTGTAACTCGAGTTATTTGATAATATGATCGATAGTCATAGATTGTAAATGACTTGAATCTTCGATTCTATATTTTCATCTAAAATCACTTCGGTCATGTTGGAAAACGCAAGTAACGCATAAGGAAAAGATTCTGAATACCTCATTTGGTTCAATTGGGCTGAAAACCTATGAATTCAAAGTATATTCCTGAATACCTCTGATTGTTTGGGTAATGGAATCACTCGCAGTAAATCTGGATTTAGAATTATTCTGTATAAAGGTTCCTGAACGTTTTCCTGATGTATATAGAAACTTAGTAGAATTCTAAAAGTATCAATCTGAAATGTCTGATTAGATCGGTTAGAAATCGATTCTCTTCAATAAGATCTTATTATTGGAATCCAATCAAATTGCACAAGTTCATGTTATCCATATTGATGACTACAAAATGCATCTAAAAAATAATTGGATTCTCTAGTGTGTTCCTTATATTTTGAAAAATTGTTTTATTGTTTTAACATGTGGTACACTGAAATCTATGGTTATTGTTTTATGGATGCACCGACTTAACGATGATGGCTTATGGATTTGTATCATTGTATAAACTATATTTTGGAGATACAGATTTGTAAAGTACAGCTCTGATCAAGCTGGAAAATTTTTATGGACCTAATGTGACTCTTAGGTAGGCTTTGCGGCCCTGAGATCATTCTCGGGTAGGCCCTGTGGCCCTAAGATGTATTCTTAGGTAAGCCCCACAGCCCCAAAATCTATCTTGGGTAGGCTCTCAGGCCCTAAGATATTCCCTTAGGTTAACCCTTTGTAAGATGGTTTTAAAATACGAGTTTAAAAAACTCCACTACAGTATGGTTTATGGGATTTTACTGAACTATCATTTGATTAGTGTACCTATTATGGTTTTATCGTACTGATGGAACACACTAGGCATCCTATTCGACCTCATGAAAATGTGATAGTATGAAAGGTTTCTTATGAACTGAGATTCATGGCTTCTACTCGATGAACTACTATTATTCCGCAATTGGTATACGTTTGATTCAATAAGGAAATTATGGCTTCCCATTTATTTGCATGTCATGTAGCATCATCTGGTAGTTTTGTATTACTGAGCTTTTCGAAGCTCACTCTACATTGCAGGTTAAAAGAATTGAACCAGTGTAGCTATCGACTTCAGCAAGGGAGTTCTTCCGGCGTTGTTGCAGAGTATGGTACATGTGTTTAGGGGGCATGTAATTGTATTTTGATTTATATACAAGTCTGGAAATCTGTTTTATTTCTGCATACTGATAAATCATTTTATAAGTTACATATTTTAATAAAAGTTTTAAATTTTCCGCCATTTTTACAGTGGGTCGCTCTGGTGGCCCTAATGTGACACCCCGGATCGGATCGGGCTATCCGCATTGGTCTGAGGGGGTTACATATGACATATAACATGTAATTAGGGAGCTTCTACGGTGCGGCGCTTAAAAAAGGCTAAAAAATGGCGTGACCGATTAAACAAGTGACAGGTTAAAATTTAGACCGGTTATGTTATATCATTTAACCGGAAATATTATCAAGTACAATAACATATTAGATAGCACTTATATAATGTAATAGGTAGCGCTTATATAATAAAAAAGGCATTTAACCAGAAATATTATCAAGTACAATAACATATTAGGTAGCGATTATATAATGTAATAGGTAACACTTATATTGACCTGTTTTCTTAGTAAACTGGTATATTTATACCAGTAACATTGCAAATTTACCTATTACATTATAATTATCGGTTTCGATGTTTTTTGGATCGATGCAATTTTAAATGTATTGACACTTTATGCATGCACCTCGTTGGGCATTCATTCTGGAAAAAAGTATCGACACAAACTTAAAAAGTGTCGATACATTATTTAGACATGTTTTCTCATAAAACTGATATATTTATATTGGGTACATTGTAAATTTATCTATCACATTGTAATTATCGGTTTCGATATTTGTGGGATCGATACTTTTAATAAATGTATCGACACTTTATGCGTGCACCCCGTTTGGCATTCATTATGGACAAAAAATATCGACACAAATTTAAATAGTGTCGATACTTTATACTGACCTATTTTCTTATAAAACCGGTATATTTATATCAATTACATTGTAAATTTACCTATTACATTATAATTATCGGCTTCGATGTTATTGGGATCGATACTTTTAATAAATGTATCGACACTTTATATTCTGGACAATAAGTATCGACACAAATTCAAAAAGTGTCGATACATTATGTTGACATGTTTTCTAATTAACCTGTATATTTATACCGGTTACATTGTTAATTTACCTATTACATTATAATTATTGGTTTTGATATTTTTGGGGTCGATGCTTTTAGAAAATGTATCGACAGCTATTTAGCTAGTTATTGTACATACCTAAATATGTCCTGCGAATTTAATGTTGTACCTACCCTTCAACTACCATTACCAATACCACTACCAATATTCGCTCAACACAAAGGTGCGAGTCTATGAATGCTTTACTCGCGATTGCACTGAAAGACAATAAGACATATTTAGATGTTGTTCGTGCAATTGAAGATTGGATTAGTAGAATGCGTATGAACGAGTTAAAAGCGGATTACTTAAGTTCCCAGACGAAGCCCTTCCAGATCACAAAACTAGTCGACCTTGAAAGTCATGCTGCTGAGATTTTTACCCGTGAATCTTTTCGTGTGTTCCGATATGAACTTCAACGAGAGACATTGTACCGGATTCAGGAAAAAATTCAATCCTTATCAGATGAATGTCTACATTATATTTTGACAAAGTACAAAGAAAAAAATAGGACATTTGAAATTAGTTTTGATTCTCGTACGGAAACTTTAAATTACTCCTGCAGAAAATTCGAGACCATTGGACTTCCGTGTCGCCATCAACTTCACATTTTGAAGCATTTGGATTACACATATTTTCCTAGGACTTTGATTCAAAATAAGTGGACTAAGGATGCGAAGGCTTCTGTAGTTTTGTTGACTCGAATGTGCCTCCAGAAGTGATGCAAATGACAAAGTTTGTTGCTCTACGTTCAACATCAAGTAGGTTTTGCTACATTACATCAAAGACAGGCGCGTCTTTCAAAGCCGCAAGAGATGAGATGAAAAGACTAACAGAAGAATTTGAAAACTCATTTGGTTTGAATGATTCAGTCAACCAGAGCAGTGTAGTAAACAACGTTCGTGACCCTCAACGAAAACAAAGCAAGCAAAAAGATTTACCAAGAGCGGTAGCTTTTTCTCTGCATGAAAATCGAACCTAGAATCAACTTTGCAATTATGCGTATCATGCTGAAGAGAACCTGCTGAATAATAGGATTTGCACACAACTGCAAGCATTTTAAACGCTAAACCCAACTCCTCACATGAAAAATTATACAACAGAGATGTCAGGATTTCCTATAAAATGATTGACATGTATGTTACATAATATGTTATATTATCACTTTGGGCTCATATCACATCATTATCTTTGAAACATGACATATCATTTCACCACTTTGGACACGTCATACGTCATCACTTTAGACGCATGGTATGTGCTACATCATCATTTTAGACACATAATATATTTCATATCATCGCTTTGAATACATAACATATACCAGAGACAGAGTTAAGACCTTATTTAACTAAAACATAAACTAAAAAAGACCTAAAATATCATTATACTAAAAATTTTAAGAATACAGCTCCTTCCGGCCATTATGTAGCTTTGTCCCTAACATATATCACCTCAACACTTTAAACACATATAACTATTTCTATCCAACCAAAACTATTTCAACATTAAAGATTAAAATAATTCTTTTAGTACTATTTCAACATTAAAGATTAAAATAATTATTTAAGTACTTTGAACACATATGACATATCATATTAGTGATAAACATTGACCATTAGTCACCTAATTCTTTTACCTAATCAAAATTATTTTATCAAAACATTAAAAATCAAAATAATTTTTTAATCAAATGTTAGTGATATTGTTTTAACATTATATCTTTACTTCATATACCTAAATAAAATATGTAAATCTATAATTTCAAATTTATATATCTAAATTCAACATAATTAAATAATATTTTAATCATTTTATTTATGCAATCATCTTTTCAATAAACATGATATGTATATTCCAGCATAAAATAGTTATGCTACATCAATATATATATATATCATATTCAAATCATTTCACATAAAATATACAACACATACGTTGATAAAGAATGAATCAGAAAAGAGGACAGAGAATGAGACTGGTAAATTACACCAGGGAAACATTGAGACTGAGACCAGTACTAAGTAACTCATGTATTTATTACTTGCAGAAAAAAAAATCCAGATAGAATATTCTCTGTTAAAAAGACTACAATCACGTTTAATTTATTTAATATAATTAAATAAAAATATTAATCACCATTGTGATTTGTCTAAACATCCATTAAAGCAATTCTTTTACACAATCATAAACACAAGACACACAAAAGACAAAGCAAAGAATTATATTAAATCAACTATTCAGACACAAACAAATTAGAGCTACAAGTTTCAGAGATTTGAGCATCGAAATCAATTTGTCGAATAGGCAAGAACAGTGCTACTTGCAACTTTTAAGTATGTTACAAACTACAATGAAAGTCATGCTCAACAGTCAACAGTACTAGTTAAACAATTCTAATTCATCAATAGAAACTTACAAAGATGAGTTATAACTAAATAACCTTTGATACAGATGCTAAAATGCTCTATTATGAATAAATAATGATATTTTGGTGCTAGGAACACAAATTTTTGGTCCCTTGATAAGCATTTGGCCACAATCATTTGTGGGAGATGTTAAATCGGAATTATAAGAACAGAGAATGAAATAAAAACTAGGAAGTTGTATATTTGTTCAGACAAACAATGCATTGGATTTTCGGCACAATACAAATATATTGCACCATGAAAACATTAAGACTGAGACCGATTATAAATACCTAATATACTACAACTCTATTCACGATAATCTATCTATATTTACAAATCATTAATATGACTTTGTCTACACATCCATCGAAATATATTTAGCTTTATCAAGCCACCAACTATTCCATTTCACACTAGGACAAAAATTTGTCATGTTCTTTTGCACAGTAATCAACACAACACCAAAAAAAGCAAATCAGTGAATTGTATAAAAGCAAAAATGCATATAGAACAAATTAGAGCTACAAGCATCAGAAATTCAAGCATTAGAACATATGCAATTATTGAGAGCCAAGAACAAAACTAGCTGCAACTTTTAAGTATGTCATGAACTATCAGACATTTGATACTTGTAAAAATCTCCATTCCAAAGAAATCATGTTATTTTGGTGCTAGGAACACAGATTTCACGTCCCTTGAAAATCATTTGGCCACAATATGTGCTAAAGTAATCAGAAAGAAGTTGTATATTTGTTCAATCAAACAACCCATCGGAGGTTCAACATAGCGCAAATAGGCTACACTAAGAAAACATCGAGGCTGACACCTGTTATATGTACCTTATATACTTCATTCTATTCAAGAGAATCTATCAATATTTATAGCTTACAAAAAGAGTTCAAGATAGAAAATTCTCCATTAAAAAGAGCACGAACATGCTTAGTTTATTTAATAGCATCAAATCTAAAACTATTAACCATCATTCTGGCTTTGTCTACGCATCCATCAAAATATATTTAGCTTTATCAAGCCACCAATTTTTCCTTTTCAAGCTAGGACAATAATTTATCAAGCTATTTTACACAATAATAATTAACAAACACACAGCAAAAAAAGAAACCGGAGAATTATTTTAAATCAAATTTTCAGACAAACAAACTAGAGCTACAAGTATCAGAAATACAAACATCAAGGTGGACACACAAATAGGTTGTATCAAGAAAACATCGAGGCTTAGACCGGTCATAAGTATCTCATTTTCTTCATCATCTTCATCTTTATTCAAGAGAATCTCTCCATATTTATTACTTGCAAAAAAGTTCAGGATCTCTATATTTATTACTAACAAAAAAAGTTCAGGATAGGAAATTCACCAATAAAAGATCTACGATCATGTTAGTTTATTTAATAACATCAAATCTAAAAGTACTAACCATCATTGCAGTTTTATCTACACGTCCATCAAAATAGATGTAGCTTTATCAAGCCACCAGCTATTGCTTTTGAAGCTAATGCAATAATGTCAATTTCTTTCCCACAATAAACAACACAACACAAAAAGAGGGAAAGTGGGGAATTATTTAAAATCAAATATTAAGACAGAAATAAGTTAGAGCTACAAGAATCTAAATTCAAGTATGAATATAGAGGCAACACAAATAGACTGAACCAAGAAAACATCGAGATTGA